CCCCCCCCACGCGCGCGGATTTTCGGGAAACAAAGTGTGTTTTGTCTAGCGTGGATGGGTCTCGTATCATAGGGTAGCGGTGACAGCTGTGTCTTTTTTGGGCTGGCGGTGCTTATGCGGGGGGGGGGCGGGGGCGGGGGCGCTCGTCTTTTCAGAGTTGGGTTATGAGGGCGTCTGGTCGAGCGCGGAGGGGGTTGTTGTTTCATGGGCGGTAGGTTATCATAGTTTTTTCCTCCCTAGTATCGTTACTTTTGTGTTTTCTTGGCCCATGAAGGAGACAGTTAAATACTGCGAACAGGGGACGGGGAGGGATAGAGAAGAGGCAAGATTAGGTTGACGGAGGGCATGTAAATATTTGGAAGGACATCGGAGATGCCAAATGGCTGTTTCGTCCGGTTCCTTCAACGGGCGGGCTCTCCTGGGTTTCGGTTGGTCCGGAGTTCCACCGCATTTCGAAACCGAAGTGCGGCGGAATCTCCGAACCAGGCCAGGCGGTAGTAGATTGGGGGTCTGAGAGGTGTTTCGTGTTTTTCGAGCGGCCGGTCGGGGTGAAAAAGTAAATCCAGTTGAGGGGTGCGTGTCTTTGGTGATTTCTTCGGTGGTGGCGGGGGGGGGATTGGAGCTGGACGTCCAGCGATAGAGGCGGGAGTGGCTGTCGGGGGCTAAGGCTACATGTCTTGCTCGAGTTCTTTGTGGGGTTGCTTGGTGTTCCTTCTCTCATCTACATTTTTTTTTTTACATTCAGCCCGTTTCGGGTGAAGGATGTCTTTGAGCGCGGTAGCGGTGGGGGGAAGGCGGGTTTCGCACGCGTCATATGAACAGATGATGCCGCGCGGTTGGTTTCTACAATTTTCACTTTTTTTTTTTTTTCCCACCAGAAAATCGATACATCGTCCGCGAGGTGGTGGTGCGGCACAGATTGTTGGCTGTTGGCTTAAGTATTATGCAACAATTGTCTCGGGCCTGACGCTTCGACCTACGAAAGGTTCACGGCCTGCTGTTTCGAGCGGGTTGCAAAGGGGGGGTTCGGTCTACTGTTGACAGGCAGGCAGGCAGGCAGGCAGGCAGGCAGGCATGGCGTGCGGAGTAACATCTTTAGACGGTTTTTAGGTGCACGTTTTGGTTGTCTCGTCGGTGTGGTTGTTGTCGTTGTTCGTCACGTAATGGTACTGGAGGAGAAGCGTGTGGGGATCATTCGTCCTATTTATTTCTTTGTTTCACGCGCTCGATGGGGGGTCAATACCGAAATCGCCCGTTTGTGCGTATTTCATTTGTATGAGAGATCAGGGCGGGGCGGGGGGGGCTGTAGCGCCATTTCATCTGATTTGATCGCAGGAGTAGCACGCGCAATATTTTATGAGCTGTTGACAAGGGCCATGCAGCAGCTTGGTATATTATGTTTTTTTTATCTTCTTTGTTTTCAAGGACAACTGCGGTGTGTTTGTCTTGTTGAGCTCCCTCCTTTGTGGATGGAAGGGACGGGGTGGTGGCTTTCCAAGGACACCATCTTGCAGCAGGACACTTTTCGGGAGCAAGCAGAACGAGAAGTAGAAGCGAAGCCCTCTGTTGGCGTAGATCCGAACTACTCTACATTTAGGTTTTGGAAGGTTTTTCATGGACCGACTGATTATACGCGTTACATAAAAAGTCGACGGTTTGCAAACACCTGTAGAAGGTGCGAGAAAAGTCGGCGGCTTGCAAGCACCTGTAGAAGGTGCGTCTTACTCTCGAGTACTACCCCCCCCCCCCCCCCCCCCCCCCCCCCCCCCCCCCCCCCCCCCCCCCCCCC